CACGTCAAGTCAATATTTACAAGTCTCAATATCTTTTATAAGATTTCTTGGTCAACATTTTAGTTTATTTAAAAAGTCACAGTTTTTTTTTTCTCTAATTCAGGATATGACCCGATGTCACTGGAGCCGGGATAATAATGGGAGGTGTTTTGATATACTTCCTGTCTGCTATTGCGAAGTCTCAACATCCAACAATCACACTTTGACGTTTTATAGCTGAATCGGGTTTTAATGTTTTGTATCCTCAAAAAAGTTATATTAAGGAAATAGCCACTCATATCCTTGACTAAAATCAGATATATTTATGACATTTAATTTTATTCGATTTCCGTAGAATAATAAAAAAAAATCACTATCATTGTTTTTAAGAATCCAGCTTTACATGGTCACAATGACCTCCTCCGCATCATACATTTCTACAGCTGATCCACTTTGTAATTCATTAAAACAAAAAACAAAAATTACTGCAAGTTCATTTTTTTCCGCCTCTCCAATAGTTTATTATGCAGTGTAAATTTTTTAAGGGATGCTAGACTTAGTTAAACATTTCTTAAGGGTAACAGAGAATAGAACCAGTTGGGGAATCCTGCTGTAGGCTACTATTTGATAGATTTGCCAAGACTTGCTCCTTGGATTACAGTTTGACTTCATAGGTAATATGAGTTTGTTATGAATGTTCAGAAGCATAACTAGGGAAACTATTTCTATACAGTACTTAAAATCATGCACAACAATGGCGTGCCTCATGCTGTTGTACCTGATGACTCTGAGGGAGTGTATGGGCTCTTGCGCTGGTTTGTCATAGATCAGGCCGGTGGGTGAACCATTCACATATACAAACGAGAAATGGTGCAATATCCCAACATGCTTCTGTACCAGATGGCTTTGAGGGATTGTTCAGTCTTAGCAGATTTGAGAGGTTGTGTACTCTGAGTAGATTGAGAGGGCGTGTAATCTGAGAAGATTTAGAGGGTATGTTATCTGAGTAGATGTAGACATGGGCGCCCGCAGAAAACTTTCCAGGGGGGGGGGGCAAAAAATCGATTAACTTTTCAGGGGGGGGGGCAAAAATTTTTTAGTAATGTTTTAATATAGTTTTAATTTACTGTAGCATATTTGTATGGTGAACGAACGGACAGGACATCAGCTTAGTTACTTTCTCTTTATTTTCTCTTTAATTTAATAAAATTTTTGTCAAAAATTTTTTTATCCAACCAATGCCGGGGGGGGGGGGGCAAGTAGCCCACCTTGCCACTACCTGCGGGCGCCCATGGATGTAGATGGTGTGTAATCTGAGTGATTTAGAGGATGTGTAATCTGAGCAGATTTAGAGGGTTATTATGATCCTACACTAGTTTTCGGGTAGTTGTATTTGTAGTGTACACTTCAAATAACCTACGAGTCACTGGACATGGTTCCAAAATCCAATCCTTAATTTTCTTTTAAAATAATGGATGTTGTATTTCCTAATAATTTTATTATAATAAATTACCGACTTTATTCTTAACTGAATGGATGTGTGAAATATTCAGATTCTTAATTGGAGGATCGTTACTTAGGTTAGCATCAACAGAACAACAGGAAAGGGTACTTCAATTTTAATTCATCCCAAAAATTATTACTATTATTCACACTTTCAATGAAACAAATTTTCTTTTGAATAAAATTTTTTTAATTCAGCGCAAAAATTAGTGTACATTATCTCACATTTCCATTAAAACACGTCACATTTCCATTAAAACAAAAGTTATTTTAGATAAAACATATTTACTTCTTTAAAAGTCCTTCGCTGCCGTGGTGGCCAAAGTTTTGTCAAGAATGGCGTTGACGTTATTCAAACCATTTGCTTTAACTAACATGTCGACGCCACATGAACTCACACATATATAAGAATCGAGCATATGTCTGTGTGTGCCATTATGGCGCTTGTTTCTGTCTCTTGCCGATTTCCACGTACGTTCGATGCGTTGAGTATTGGCACCTGAGTTCGGATCTACAAAGTTAACGGAATGACTGACCGTTTGATAAGTCAATCCCGGGGTGGTGCCAATTGCATTAGATGCTCTCCATTGATCTGTCATGACTATAGAAACAGTTTTATTTATTAAACAGGATAGAGCTGCATAGAACAGAATTGCAGCAATGACAAGTTTTGCGGTGAATTAAAATTAAAGTACCCAGGAAAGTTGCTTGGAAACGTGTCTCTTAACTCACGGCTGGCCCGACGGCTGCTGGCGCCCTGGGCATGCTTAACTTTGGCGCCCCTTATAAGTATAATCATTATAAGGGGAAAAAACAACAACTAGTTTTTCGGTAATGGGTTTATTAACTATGTTGCTGTTATTTTTTTTTAAAACAAACTATGAACCCCGGACCAGAGGTTAACTCTTCACTATAATAAACTAAGGGAATTTAAATATTTACTGGGCGCCCTTATGGCCACGGTGCCCTGTGCGAGGGCACAGGTCGCACACCCTAAAGGCCGCTCTGCTTAACCTGCTTGTCTTTATAGTAGTAAATTCATTTTTTAACCGTTACTTAATAGTTGCCGGATCACCGTGCCGGCGGGTAGTGTTTCCAATAAAAACTACCGACATAATTGCAGATATTGAACTTGAACGACGTGAAAGAAAACCGATCATTAGGCTCCCGTTTTCTTTTATTACAGTTATAGATTTAAATATGTACTAGTAGAAATGCTGTTTTTTTATATTGCTTCAATAAATGCTATTTAAAACAGACCTTTTTCTGTAGGTCTATATGCATGGCTCAGTTATGTGACGACAAATAACAAATCAGCATTAGCCTCAAAGAAGCCTGAAAGAAACACTGTTTTTCGTTGCTTTTCTCAAAGTTTAAAGTAAAAAATAAATGAGTAATAATAGTACATGAAGGATAAAATAGTTAAAGAAATAGACACAAACTCATCCCATGTGTGCCGCAGTGCTTTATTCATCCCAAGTGCTCACAAGAAGAAATTAATATTCCTCAAAAGGTTGAAGAGACATTCTATCAGGTATGAAATATATTAAAAGAAATAAATTGTGGTATGAAAATGGAGGCAGAGTTTTAAAGCAATAGGCTAAAAGTCATTTTTTAAAGTTTTTTTTTCCCATCTTCAACAGTCAAAATAATGAAAATTCTGTTTAAGTTTTCAATATATTTTGTTTTCTCTTCAGTAAATGTTGGTAAGTGACGAAATATCTTGTATAAATAATATCAATGTATATATTTATTTTAAAAATTTAAGGCTGACTATTTTACAAACATTTTTAACATATATGTTGATTACTTTTGTTAATGCCTTTACAGCAAAAATGGAAAACTTCCTTTTCACAAAATATCCACTGTTCCATTGAATGATAATGTAGATTGTTGAATGTACAAATATTTTTTGTATCTGTAGTTTATCTGCTTGTTGGTAGTATGTACAGCCATTTCTGCTCTAATATGCTACTCAAAGTCTCTTCAAACTTCTAATAGACTCCTTCTTGACTAATTGACAACAAATCTTTCATCGATACAAATGGCGTTTTTTTACTATTTAACCCAAAATTTGGCCTTGCATTAAATTGATGACTGGAGTTGTGGAACATTGGAAAATAGCTGTTGGGTAGAATATTTTGTGGACTGGACCCCACCGAGCCTATAAGATGTTTTTCTCATAACACAACACACCTTTAAGAAATCGATTGTTGGGTTATTCCAGTGTGTTATGACATCATTCCTGTAGTTAAAAATGACCACACCATTAAATGTACTTGAGTTGTTCTAGAGAGTTAAATCTGAAGCATGTAAAAAAAACTGTATTAAACGTTTTTTTTTTTAAAGAAAATTATTTCATGTGGCTCCAATGAGAAAATAAATGTTTCTTGAAGAGTTATGTACTGCTGCTGTTAAAAGTGCTTGTTATTAACACAGAGAATGCTAAGATGTCGAATTCCTTGAATCCTTGAGTGGATGACTGATGTCTCACCGAGGTCTAACAACTGTGCTCTCAGGGCTGCCACAGACGAGGCTCTCTCTTTCGCTGGGGCATATGTATTGTGTTTTTTTTCATCAATATTGTAGTCATCATAAAATATTTCTGTTGCTCCCTTTCAGACACTTCGTGTTCTTGTCTTCTGCTGTTTTCTATATTTATTTGATGAACAGCTTCTTTAATGGCGTCGTCAGCTTCAAACTCTCTTTGTTCCTTGATTTTGCCACTAGCTGCTTTTAATGGACTTTCAACTGTTGCATTAAGTGAGATGGCTTCTTTGACCTGTCGATCCGTGTGGCTATCAACTGTGGATCCACTTTGTATTCCACTGGGTTGTTTCGAGACTCTTCCATTTGATGACCTTGTTTCAGTCATTTTGGGTTGAAAAATATCTTGGGGATAAATATCAAACTTACTCATTTGGTCAGTTAGAAAGTCAGGTGTTTTCAGATGTTCAAAGGGATCACTGTCAGAGGACATTTTGGTTTCATCGATTTTAGAGGTGTTTGGATCAGCCATGGCTAATTTCTCTGCTATTTCATCTGACTTTTTCTCATTCTCATCGTCTACTTTCTCTGCTGTTTCATCGGCCTGCTTTTCATTCTGATCTTCAAATTCATTTGGAGTTTCAGAAGCTTTTATATCACCCTCAAGCTCATCTTCAATTTTCTTTAGCGTTTCGCCAACATTGTTATCCTCAATTTCCTCTGGAGTTTCAGAAGCTGGCATTTCATCCTCAAACTGATCTTCACTATAATTTGGAGCTTCAGCAGCTTGCACATTATCCTCAATTTCCTTTGGAGTTTCAGACGCTCGCTCATCATCCACTTTGTCATTCTCAATTTCCTTTGGAGTTTCAGAAGCTGTTATAGCATCCTCAGACTGTTCTTCCATATAATTTGGAGTTTCGGCAGCTTGTGCATTATCCCCAATTTCCTTTGGAGTTTCGGAAGCTTGTTTATCATCTACAACGTAATCATTGACGGTATCCCCAGCTTGTTTCTCATCTTTGTGATATTCTTCAATTTCTTCTCTCGTTGGTAGACTATCTCGCTCCTCACTCTTGTAGCTATTTGTTTTTCCAGGTGATATTGTTTTTGGACTTGCGACAATAGATTTCTGACCCGATTTTTCACCTGATGGGATCCTGCCTGGTATTTGAACTTCCTTCGGTTTTATGTTTGGTGTTTCTAGAAGAATCCACGTTGGCCTCGTGACACAGTGCAATGGGAAAAGTGGTTGCGTATCAAGATGGAAGTTATTGGTAATCTGAAAATAAACAAGTAGAAATTGTTACGAAAGCAGCGACGGTTGTGTCTCACACATGAGCAAGGTAAGATACATGTTCGATTATTTTGGCGGCTGTTTCTGTGATGAAGTCATTGAGATACCCTTGTTTGGTCAATTTTCGTGTTTTTTTTCTATTCCCAAGAAAGACGGTAGAGAACGAGGGGAAAAGAAAATGTACGCCTTGACAAAAAATAAGCGGTTTTCCCAAATCATCATTGACAACTACCTTTATTTGGTCTGATACTCGCATGCAGTAAGTACGAGTCTCACTTTACTACTTTAATGTTATACCAATCACAAGTGGAATGCGGGAACCACTGTACTACAAAGTAGTTTAAATTGACCACCATGAGAAATAGTTGACTGAAATTCATAAAGATTTGCTACGTCAACCCGCTGCCTCGAAATCAAAAATACTTTCGTCGTCCATAAAGATCGCTCGGATGATTTCTAAAACCTTATATTTAAGGAAACAGGTAAATGTACATGTTCATTTAAAATAATTTGGCAGCGTTATAGCAACTCACATCTCATTTAAACTTAGATAAACAAATCTTTAGTTAGGGAGGAATATGAATCTTACTTGAGGAATCTGCTTTGAGTTGTCCTTCTTCGCGGGGCTGCTCCCCATGAGATCGAGTTGAACCTCTTGCCCGTCACTGTCGCCCGAACACCTGCGTGCTCTGATGAACATCATCTCATCCACTTGGACCACATTGGAAATGTACCTTGCCTCAGCTTGGGGAGTTTTTTTGGCCTTAGCTCGGGCCCGAGGGTGTGGATGGTCTACAACTGAATTTCTCCACTTAGTCTTCGGTGGGTCACTTTTAACACAGGGACTACTGGAATATTGGATTCGATTTATCTTTGAAGGAGTTTTAGGTGACACTGGGGAAAGAATGTATGTATTGTACTAAATTGTACTCACTAACATTTCCACATATTTAAGATTGAATAAAACATGTTTACTCCATAACTACTATTTTGTACCCACATTTTTTTTTTAAATGGCAAAGAAATTGTTATTATATTTGAAGCGTGGTTTACCCAAAAAATTTAATAGTTTTGACATATTACATTCACAAATAAGTTTCCTTTTAAAGAGACATTAAGTTTTTTTTTTAAAAAATAAAACTTAATATTACGGCATTTGTTTTGATTTTGATTCAAAATTGTCAATGACAGAAAAAGGATAACTCGTCGGAGCCTAACGTTCACGAGCTTCTAAAGCCAATGTCAACATTTGATCAAATGCAAAAGAAACCAGACAAGTTAAAGAATTTGTAGCTATCAGCGTTTTCCCTTGTTAAGCGACAATTTTAATGTTGTTGTTTTTTAGTATTTCAATATAGCAGCGTTTTAAAATATTTTTCTTTTCATCGTCATACTTTTTCACTCGGCAAACTACGAATGTTTTAAGAAAGTGAGCTTTATTTAGTGCAATACTTAGTAACGGTACTTACTGCAACAACTATTCAACTAAGACGATCCGATGTCGAGTTTCTTTTTTTTGTTTAATCGTCCACATTGTGAAGATAGGATTGACCGTCCTAGGTTCGGGTCCAGGCTTCGTGCTGCCAGGGCCAGGAATCCATTTAAATAAATTTCTTAACGATGTCGCCGACGCGGGATGGGATCCACGTGACAGCTGACCAAACTTCTGCAACAAGGGAAAGCTTAGTTAAGCGTCCAAGCTGCCACTGAATCGTAAATTGTGCCAGAGTTCGCGGCCAGTTCTGCGACACCATCAAAACTTCGGTGACATCCCGGGAGAAGCCGTTGTGTCTACATTTCAGGAAGGTGGAAGGATTAGCTTAACCACACGAGATATTTTTTTAAGGATTTCCCCCCCAATGCATCTTGGAAAATAGTGGTTCCACGAACTTCGTTTTGTAAGTGTCGTGAACTTCGGCGAATCCAATACGGCCACAATTTATTTCTTCAGGGGCCGCTTACACGCCATGTAATGGCTATGACATGCGATAAAGATGTAAATGAATAGTCCCTCGCCTAATGCACATAGCCAACATTTGTCTTTTTGTATGTCTGGTGTCTTTTGCTGTTACGGGGGCATAGAACTACATTTCAAACATGGGACTTAAAATGGTTTCAGCTAGAGCTACTGCTTGATTTAAAAGAGCGTTGTTGAATGGCTGCATCTCAGAGGGGAAACTGACAAAGCAGTTCGTTGACGGTACTGTATCAAGAGTCCATAGCTCTACGTGACGAGCTGAGATAATAGTGTATTCTATCAAGGTCTTGCTTTCGTTAAAGTTAGCGATAGCAATACAGCTGATGTTTCCTTTGCTTGCTGCTTGGGATGCAAAAGTCAAACTTTACTTACTGTTTCCGGTACCGGGTAGGCTCGTGTTGTTGTTGCCATCCAATACGGTAGGAGATACCGGTCGTTTGGCAGGTGGCGGTGGACGTTTTCCCATTGCACGCTCGGGTATCTGATCGGACGGTCTCCAGGTCGTCTTATTTGGATGCTCTTTTTTAGGATCTGGTTTGGCGACAGGCTTTTGCTTGGTGGCTTCCCGTGAATCGCGCCATTTTGCCCCGTGATCTTGATTCATCTCCCTCCAGTTGTTTCTCGCACCCTGATTATCGTAAACATGGTTGTGAGCATACGGACTCTCTTCGTTCGTTTTAGCTAATTTTGATATTGCATTTGCCGCGTCTGAGGCTCCAAACACTTCTGACTTGAGATTCCGGGCACCAGCCATTTCCTTTAAATTTCTACAATCTTCTTCTGCCCTGTACTTAAAAGACACCCAGGCCCCCGGCTCATCCATAAGATCTCTGTTGACATCTTCGGCGTAGTCTTCCTTGTTGACGACATTTTCACGACACACAATACCGCCGACTTTCTTGATCTCATTGACTACCGGCACGACGGCAGGGGATTTCGATAACCCAAAAGGGGAGAATGGACTGCCAAGACTGCTTTCAACGTACTGACTCGCAGAAGGGTTGCGACTGGCGGTGTAATCAAAATAGCTGTCCCTTTCTTCTTGCTGATTTTGAGGCACACCATATCTCTGGGATGGCAACTCTTCGTAGTCGCTTGTTCTACCCGACCTCTTGCCTTGAGGCAGCGGGGTGTGTGCTTGGTCGTACCCAGTCCAAGGCGAATCCTCCTGGTTCGCCCGTGTGTATGATGAAGACAATTTTTCAGGTCGAGTTTGCCCATAATGGTTAGAAGGGGATGAGTAACCGGACAAGCCATGTGCATATCCCGTATCCCCCTGGCTGTAGCCTCCCATGTAACTGTCATGAGAACCCCCGTACGTGCCGGATGACGAGTAGGTCATATCCGGTCGAGAAAACATTTGTGGAGGGGGCGACTGGGGCGTCGTTACCCCGGATCTGAGATAGAATGGTGACGCGTACTTAGATGGCAGATCTTCATAGATGGGTTCAGGTGGTGGTGGTGGGGCCCTGGCTTCTGGTGGCTCATTGCTGTAATCTCCCGTATAGAAATGTTCTAGATGATTGTTGTTAATATTCTCATGTTCTAGATGATTGTTGTTAACATTCTCATCCTCCACGCTGTTTGAATTGTTGTTATTTCTATACTTAGGACATATTATATTTGTATAGTTATCATCCTCTTCCTGACTTTGCTGGAACCGTGCCATGTTTTGATAGTCAGCAGTGCGTTCGTGGTTATTTACCACGGGGAACGGCTGCACATACGGTCCTCTGTACCAAATGTCTTCATGGTCTGGCTTTTTCGGAGTTTGGAAAAAGAATCCCGTGTTTGCGGCTTCCTGAATTTCATACTTGGAGAAGTCGAAACCACGCTGGAAAGGGTGTTCACTTCGTGAGCTTGTGGGAGGTTTCGGACGGTGATTTCTTACGTAGTCCGTATAAGCCGAATCATCGGTCAGCGTGATTGTGGGACGAGACGTCTCTTCATTTAACGTCGTCATCCTGTAAGTTTGTCCATTATTGCTATTGTTGGACCAATCCATGGCATCGCTCCCGACGCACGGGATCATCGCATTGGCCTGGTTGTATCCCAGGGCTTCGATGTTATAATCCATAACAAAATCAATTCGTGGCCTTGCTCTTTGACGACGAGACAGTCTGTTTAAGGTGGGTCTCGTGGAGTTATTGGTACTGCCGTTTTTTGAAAAGTCACTGCTTACCCTGTGGTCACTACCTGTCTGGTAGCCCAGGGAAATGGCGTTCAGGTTACTGCTGAACACACCGCCGGTGTACAGATCGTGATCACTTGTCTCCTGTTTGTTGGCTACTTCGTTTGGCTCAAAGTACAGATGGCAGGATGAACTGGCCGAGCTGCTGTCCCCATTGTTTTCTTGTTCATAAAAGGGATCCTTGTAGAAGCCTCCGGTGTACATGTTGTCACTGACCTCGCTTTTAACGCTCGTGCCGCTGAACGAACTCTCGGACGAGCTGACGTCACCGCTCATGGTGTACAGGGCTATCCCCGCCGTGAGATCGTGGTACGGCGGAACGTGCGCCCTTGTTGTCTGGCGTTTTCCGAAATGGTAGATGACACCCGTGTCCACGTCAGATTCTGGATTACCGCTCTGCCTTCTGTACGTTGCGTAGTCGGGCATCCCTTGTGACCTCATCAGAGCCACGTCCGAATGGCTGCCCTTTACGCTCGTGACAAGATGGAAACTGGTGCTGGATTTACTTTCGTGTGAACGATCCCTTTTTGACAACGCTGATTCTTGCCCTTCGTAGTACGATGTGGAGTCATAGTTGTTGACAACTTTACCCACAGTGTACACATCGGCCGTCTTCTCTGACAGGGTCTCTTCTACTTCTGTTTTGGAAAAATCATCCGCTTCATTTGACGTTTCGCTGACTTTGCTCAGAGAGGCGGCAACTTTATCACGATAATAGCTTTCGGATTTTTCAGTGGTTTGTCTTTTTGCCGTTAGCTGACATTCCAGTGCATAGGGGAGATGCTTGACACCATCGCAGTAAGATTCGTCCACGGCCACCAAGGTCTTCACAGCAGTGTGTGCAGCTACCGGATTTTCAACAAAATTAATCTCCTTTTCCTTTAACGCTTGGCCTAGAATAGCGCCACTGTAAACTTGATCAGTAGCTTTGTACGCCATGATATTTTTAGCTTTCGCTGAAATTTCTGGGATGACCGACACTGATGGCGTATAATCACTGTCGTTTGATTTTTTTGTTTTCAACAAAGCCACATTTAAATTCTTTGTCTCCTGCTCCTCGCGAATAGTGGATCTGGATCTGCTTCTGACGACCTCCGTGTGCTTCTTAGCATACATAGAAAAGGAGCCGTCGTAAGAGGTCGACCTTCCCTTTTGGGTTAGTTTATGCTCACCCCGCCAGAGCTCCATGGGGCCACCTGGTAACGAGCTCGATTTTTCCTTTCCCTTAATGCTGTTCTCTTTTCTTAGCGAAGACGCTTTATTCGCTCTCATCGTTATCTTGGTACTCGATCTGGTCGATTTCAGAATACTGTCCGATTTTTTGGCACTTTTCTCTTTCACTGTGCTATCTTTTTTGACTGCGTAGATTTTGTACGGGACCGTGGCACTGCGGCTTAAGGCTGTCCTTCGTGCTTTTTTGTCCCCGCTTTCGGGTGGATCAACGGGCGTCCCTTCGTTGATTACTTTCATCATAGACATTCTTAAAGCGTTTTTGTTGTCTTTGTCACTTTTATGCAAACGTTTACCAAACTCGACGATATCCGCATCAGGTTCACGAATCTTTTTAACTTCCATTTCTTTTCCTTGTCGCTTGACATTTTTTTGACCAAGGACATTTGGCCTAAGATCTCCATCCGTACCCGCTCGCTCCACGCTCTTGCGTATTTTAGAGTGACGAACATTGGGTGCTAACATTTTCGTCTTCTCGTCGCTACGGCTTAAAATCAAGCTGCTAGAAGATTCTTCCCCCCTCAGAGCTTTGGATCGGAAAAGCTTCTTCTTTCGATTTTCCAAATATTTTTCCATTCGAAGCATCTCTCTTTCGTCCATGCTGGGTAAATTGTAACAGAGACTATCAGAGCGTGCCTTCAAGTCTATGGATGCAGTTGATGTCGATGAAATGTCCACAACATCAAGTCCAATGTGCTCGTCGTCTGGAACAAGTATGATTTTCCCATCGTATGATGCACTGCGGTTCAGGGAAGTTTTACCCCGTGGGTCAGCAGGATACACCAACGGTATCTCGGTTTTGAAACGATGAAATGCACCTTCTGCTTTTCCTTTTTTTGCCTCTATAATGGCTTCCTGTTTACTTTCATTTTGCTCAAAAATCTTGTTATCAATGCTCGGTTCCTCTTTTGCTTTCTTTGGCCTAATGTCCAAAATCCGTTTGACGCTTTGAGCAATGGACTTCGCGTAAGCTCTAAATTCATCTAATGTCCCTATTCGCCCGCTTTCCTTCTTTATCTTGTTCCAACAGTTCTTGCACAAACCGTTTTCCCGCGTGGGCATGTCGCTTTTGCATGAACCGCACGTGCCGCACTGAGTAATGGAAGTTTTGTTTGCATCTGCCTCGTTAACCTCATGGGCAGGAGCAGCGTTGTCTTCTTTCACGACCTCGAGGCCACCAGCAGGTTCCATGGTTGTACTTTGCCTGGAAAGGTTTGAATAGCAACCAGAATCTTCACTAGAATCCCTAGAGAATTTAAAGTCCTTTTTACATGTTGCGTCGATGATGTCATTAAGACTCTTGCAGACGTCAGACTGGCAGTTCTTCTGTGAACAGACTCCACACAATGTCGCGTCAGGCGCGTCCTTCACGGTGATCTCAACAGTAGTGGGGACATCTAGCGAAAATGTCGTTGGACATTGTGTTAAAAGCTGATCAGTATTTGTTTGCTCGTTTTCTTCCCGTTTGATTCCACTGACTCCGCTTAATTTATTACTGATGTCAGTCTTCGGGATGATGCTGATGGAATCGGACTCTGGCACTTTGGATACGGCTGTGTTGTTCAGCGTTGAGGGGCGTACGGCAGCTTTGGGCGCCCTCTTTTTGGCAATAGGTTTAGTGACAGGAGTCACGGGCGACTCTGGCTTCTGTGCAGAGGCAGATTTGTTTTTTAAGCTGGTTGTTTCAGACTTGCCAGCATTCTTCGTGGTGCGCTTTGCTGGTATGTTTTTCTCCTCAGCTTGAGCCGCCAATCGCTCGAGGACATCTTTCGATAGGAAAATGTCCGATTTATTCATTGTGTTTTGTTTAGAGCTTGCTTTCAGCATGCCGGAGTCACTGCGAAGATTGTCGTTCTGAAAAAAAAAAAAAGTAGTTCGTTTCTGAATATCGTTGGTTTGTTGTGAAAGCGTTACCAAATGAAAATTTAAGTGATGAAATATAATTTGCAAGTTATGAAATGATCCATATTTTTAATCTTGGATTTTCGATCGAACCCAATGTGTAATCTAATGTATTTTGACATTCACCAAAGAGTTCTCCTAGAGTTCCGCGGTCATTATAAATATTCGATTTTATTCAATTGGTCATGGGACAGTTTCTCTGCTCGAACCCGCGGTAGGCACCCTGAAAACAGTTAACACTTTTCAACTTTTGATTTTTGGGATGTTGTTGTACTTCTCCTAATTGCATGTATAGAACTGAACATTGATTGGCCGGCACCTGGTGGTAAATAACCGACAGGAGGGCGATATATTAAGATTGGTGACCATCGTAATTTTAAAAAGTCATTTCCTTAAACCCATGTGGCATGTTCATTTTCTCATCTGAATTGAAATCTTCTGGACATTTCATAGTTGATTGTTCATTCTCAGTCCACTACACTCATACTATTCATTCTATTGGTCATTTTGATCATTTATTATCTTACCTTATTGGTGGCTTTTTTATTGGCTCTTAATTCCTTCTGGCGTGGGGTTTGTATATCTGCTGTGTAATCATGGCTCCCCCTTACTTTGGTCTTCTTAACCTTTGGGGAAAAAATGGTGCCAATTGGATGCTTACACTTACAGCGGTCATGAAAACCAACGCCACTAAACCAAATACAGCCCTTGTACAAAACATCTCATCACTTTTACAATCTAAAGTTCTATTTAAACTATTGAAAATAAAGACATATTGAAATATTAGGTTTCAGACAATATTTCTTAAATCTATGGCTAAAGTCGTAGAATTTTCTGAAAATTCATCAATGTGAGAGTGATTAGCAATACTGGTCTCGGAGAATGGAAAAAGTTGTGTTCGAAGCAAACATATTGTGCGTATCCCTCAGACTTGTTTTGTATTTTAAACAAACTAGAAAACTTTCATAGCTTTGGACATACTGTTTCAATATCTCTATTCATTCTATCACTTACCTCGATTGGAGAGGCATCAGGCTGAATTTCATCACTATCACTCGACAAGGCTTGGAACAAATTCATGGCGGATCCTGGTTCAAGGCCCCCCCTGTATCCAGTGACGGCGGCAGCATTTCCCGTCTCCCGGTGCATCATTTTAACTAGCAGGATGTGGAAGGCGCCTTCGCGACCTTATTCGGAAACCGCCGAAGCTTGATGCTTTAGGATGTTAACTTACCCACTATATGTAGTAAGGCTGAATCATATCTGATGTTTTATTCAAGGCCCTATAAAAAAGGGATAAATAGAATGTTTATACAGTTTAATTTGATTTACAGCTCAACCAAAAAAACAAAAACAAAAAACAGCAAAAAACTACTAATAAAGGTTTGATTCTGTGATGATCATCTTGGGTAAGGCGGATTGGATTAAAACACTGTTGGGGGGGGGGGGGGCAACATTTAACTGATGAGATTCATAGAACATGGAAAATCCCTGAGGTAACTCAAATGAATCCATCTCTTTTCTTAAAGCAACTTTCTGTAATATTTTTTGTGTCAGTTTTGCGCCCATCTTAGATAGAGACAGATTAAGGGCACCTGGCCACGTGACATCCCTTAGCAATCACCAACCACGCCCAGGCTCAATCTACTCCTGAGGTCTGAGGTGTGTGTACATTGGGAACGATCGAGTTATTTTAGCAGAACCCAATGCCATTGTCATACTCTATAGACAGTGTACTGGTACTATAAAAATTCAAGACTGAATTCATTAGCTATCTTTTCTTTTCTTCATTATACTGAGAGCTGGTATACATGAAGGTAAAAATCTTATATATAACATTTGATAATACTTGACTGAAATATAAGGCACCATTAAGTGTCTTCAAATAAAACGACAACACATAAGCATGTTGAGCCATGTTAAGGTATATTGTATTGGAATGTAGCATCACACAACTTGCAAGTTGGGTTTGGGGGGGGCATCGTTGGGGTCAGCGATGTTGCTAAAGGTCAATTAAGGGTTAAGTGTGTAAGGGGCACCACTGGCGTGTTGGGAAAGCAGTCGTCTCAAATAGCAGGCTTTCTAGTCTTTACACGGAATGTAAAATAACTAGAGTGTATCGTTTTTTGTCGTTCGGCAAACGCTGTGCGACGCTTCGTTGCAAAGGAGATTTAGCGTTGCTATACAATCAGTTAACGTTGATTTACAAAGTTGCTAAGGTTGTTTTTTGTTTTTTTAATAAGGGAAAAAATACAAATTTTGTACACAAATTATGTCACCATAGGTGCGCAAGTTTCCAACGAGCAAATCGCGCTTCACGGTTTCAGTTACAAGCGAGGAAAATGTTTAAGAAGGAAAACTTACGTTCTGCAAAGCACAGTGAGTTCTGGAATTGACATCAGCCGGCCATGTGTGACGTCAGTTGCTACAGATTTCAACACAAGAAGTAACGCACGGTGCTCGCCGTTCAAGGCGCTCTTCGTTTAGCGACACATCGGGAGTTCCCAAAGCGCTGCGCGTTAGCCGTTCGCTCCTTGGGCAGGAGATTGACGATCAATACATAGGGGGCATCAGTTGTGTTTTCATGTCATTCTTCTTCGGAGTATTTTTCATGTCATTCTTCTTCGGAGTATTTTCGATGATCGAAGAAAGAAGGTCAAACGTAACACGCTGAACACAACAAAGTAACCTAGCTTTGATCTAATTGATTGTGTTATCCCATATACTAAAATCTTTGACTTATAAATAATATTTTGTTATTAAAGGGAACAAAAATGTTTTATCGATCTTTGGCATCATTAAAAAAAAAAGGCCCCCCCCTCCCCCCCCCCCCCCCCCCCACATACTTTCAACGATGAAGATTTTAATTGCAAAATATATTGTAAAGGAGGGTACAACTTTACCAAATGCATAATTTCTTGTTAAATGTAGGTTTGTAATGTGCCATGTTTTCAAATGGCAGACGAAATGTTTATGATTAGTCTTCTTGAAACTGCTAACATTAATCTGTTACAAAGCGGCTCATTTACGCTTACGTCTACGGAGTGGTCTTTTTACGTTTCGGAGTGGTCCCCTTACATTTCGGAGTGGTCCCCTTACATTTCGGAGTGGTCCTCTTACATTTCGGAGTGGTCCTCTTACATTTCGGAGTGGTCCTCTTAGATTTCGGAGTGGTCCCCTTACGTTTCGGAGTGGTCCCCTTACATTTCGGAGTGGTCCCCTTACATTTCGGAGTGGTCCTCTTACATTTCGGAGTGGTCCTCTCACATTTCGGAGTGGTCCTCTTTGTTGACCTTGTTACCCAACGGCTCAAGCCAGCTGACCTTCGTGGAGTGGCCGCACCCATTATAAGTCCCCAGCGACTCAAAGTCCAAGCAACCTCGTCATTGAAATCCCAGCCGTGCAATACACATTTCAAGCTAATTTTATTCCTCTGCTGTTGCCGAGTTGGATCTTCGTAATGCCTGAGCCAAACTACTGTGCTTGTTATGATAAACTTTTCTTTGCCTTAACGTAACACCCCTTCCACCCCGCCCCCACCCAACAACACAAAAATTAGAATCCTTTAAAAAAATATGTATCTATTTAAATCCGACGTCTCCAGTAAATTTCAGACTCGCTCATTCAGCTCAAGGACCTACCCATTAGAAAATAGTGCGTGACGTCAGATGCACATGTTTGTTTTTTTTTACACCGCTCTTCACCAGCGACCCTTAAGGTCATATAAGGGTGTAATTTTTACTTCTGAGATGACTCAATTTTAATGTCATGATATTAACTAGACGAAAAACACGTTTCAAACAACAACTAATCATCGATTTGTTTGGCGTTCAATTCAACAACTCCAGATGAAAGAACCCCTAAAGACAAAGTTTATCGTATGAATCCTTCAATCCTTTATAAAATTTAATATAGAGTCATTGGGGGGGGGGGGGATTTGACAAAACATGCATACAAGTAACGCACTTGATAAGAATCCCAATTAATGCTCCCCTCTCCCTCTTCAAGACTCGCAACCACATATTTTTTTCACGTCCCTGACCTTTATTAATATTCTAATGACCCACCCACTTTTACGTTGCAGATTTATTTCATCCGTAATTTTAGAAAAAACAAAAGAAACTATTACGCACCAAACGCACTAGTGATAGTAAAGAAGAAGAAAAAGTATCTCATATAGCGCAGCAATCTTGAATTGTATATGATCTTTCCCTTGGAAAATATGAAAAACTGATTTTTGGGGGTTGATGTTAAAGGGTTTGAGTTGAAAATTTGATAATAATGTCTTGCCATCGGCATCAAGTCTATATGCAAAGTTTCAGCTCGATAGGTTGGTAAGAAGTGGGTCAATTAGTCGTCCGGATATTTTGCCTCAAAACAAAAGCAAAAGTCAAAATTAGAGGATTTAAAAAAAAGAATTCGAGGATATCATGGTCCTTTTATCTTACAGTTATCTGTCCGATATGCTCATTTCAAATCAAATACTATAGATTTAAGATGTTATTCTTTTTTTTTTTTTACACCATAAGACGTCAGATACGTCCAGGGGGACACAACTGAAGTTTGGACCGTGAAGATCTTTCGTTTGTTTTATGCAGGGACGTGCTGGNGGGGGGGGGGGGGGGGGGGGGGGGGGGGGCCTCCGGGCCTTTCTTACTACACCGTTCGTCACGGGTTTCCATGTGCAGGCACGTCCCTGGTTTTATGGATTTATGAACAGATTCCCAAGCAGTTTAGTTCTCAAAAAGGTGAAGATTTTAACTCTGTGGTGTCTTCTTCTTCTATATTTTGAGGGCCCACGATCAATGAGTTGATAATTCTGGCTCCTATGTTTCAGAGGGGTTCGTGATGTTACTGTGCATGGTTTTGAAAGGGATACTTCACTGGTTGCAAGGGCTACTCAGCAGTGCTATTATGAACTGGGGGTTGGAAGACAGGAGACAATAGACTTTTTTTCTGTCTGTCTTTCATGTGAATACTCTTCAACGCAATTTTTGTGCGTCGCGAAGCATTTTTTTTAAAAAACAAAGTTTCTGGGTTGGTCCCATAACCCCAGTTGAATGACATCACCACTTGAAAAGACACTTGAGCCACTTGTCGTGTTTGGTGCGCACTTTGGTGAAAATGATGAACAGAAACAGCAAATGGCGAAACACAATGAATAGATATTTTTTTTAAAAAGAAATATTTTAAATAACACAACACTATGAACGAAAGCAAGACTTTAAAACAGTGACACCAAACACGCCAGTAACATATATGTATTTATTATTTTTAATTAGTGAAAGAAGTGCACAACGCACATGCATACACTTACAACATACTTTTTATCCTTCTAAATTTCGTTTGTAAACTCACAGACTAAACCAGACATTCGAAAGTATCTAAATATTAGAATTGGATATTTTATTTGAAAACATGTAAGGGGGGGGGTCGTTGACACACTTTAGAAGAATCAAAATGAAATTAGAACAAACAAACTTTTGGCACACTTGTAGCAATCGACCTCACATTTTTGTAGGAGCGACTTTAACCACATATTAACCGATAAAGGCATGCACATTTTAACAGATAAAGGCATGCACATATAAATAGTTAAAACATACACATATTAATTTTTTTTAGCATACACAAATTAACAGATAAGAGAATATTGGACATTTTGTTTCATATCTTTTTACACACATAGGTAAATAGATGAATACATTACGAGTAAATGGCTTCTCAAAGAAAATTCTTGAAGTTTAAACGATACATTTAAATATATACATTACGCATATCATTAAATTATGCGAAAATTGAAGATTTGGTTTTAAGGAAGCAGTATTGAAAGACTAGAAGAGATAGTCTTAACTGGGGACGGGGAAGGGGGGGGTTAATATTGAAAAAAACAAATGCCATTAATTTTCCTTGACGTGCACATTAGTAGATGCCAAGTCTTACTCCTGTTTACACCAAGACCATAGTATTGCTATAGAGTACGTAACATTGACTCCAGCTTTGTGTAGGACTGCACGGGGCGCGCAGTGAATGACGAACAATTGTTGTGGATCAAAGGAAACGAAGAAAGCCTTGGGTTACAGGGTTTATTGTTGTACGCCTCTTTCAAGCTTTTTTTTTTTATGGTTGGTGGTGTTGCCTGTCACTGGTGTCAGCTGGAGTTTTTTTTGCTTTTTTTTTTCGCAACAACCTTAGCGTGTTGAACTTTCCAACATGATTTGTTTTTTGTAACATGCGTCGGTTCCCATGACATTTTGGCGCGCGGGGAGACTGTGCCGCCCCACCCCCCTCACCTCGACGCCGGGGATTGTAAAACACCTGCTCAGCGAAGCACGTCAGTGATTGTTGTTCAAGGTAGCTGGGAAGTCTTGGAACAATTCTGCTAACTTGCTCTTTGTTTGATTAGGTGAGATGTGTTCAAAATTTTTTAGCCAACCAAAGTCCTTAATACGATCGTAAATATTATTTCGTACCAAAACTGTGTTCGTTTTTTTTTTTAATTTTTAAAGAAACTAGAAACTAACTCAATCCTCTTCGATCGCTTTGGTGCTTTTTGAGGCGTCGGCATTTTAAAATAAATAAATTTAAAGCGTCATTTCATCATATCTGAGATCCAAGCTAATAGTATTTAGAAAGCCATACAAAAAAAAAGTTTATGTTTATTTATGTCTCATGGAAACGAGCTGCGTCAAAACTTTAATTCGATGAAACAAAACAAAATGATTACAAATTTATTCATCGTAATTTTGCATTGTTATATCTCAGTTTATGATAGTGTACCGTGGAATTAATGTCATTCAGAACTTAACAAACTTTTCTGTCGTGCGGCGATGACTTGCACGTGTACGTTCCATCGTCGCGGCAGACGCACGTTCGCTCTTTGCAGTGTTCCACGCTGGCAAACACCCGGGTGTAGTACGTGAATCTTCCAACTGTACAACCTGAAAGAAACAAGCACAGGTGGGTCTGATGGGGGCCATGAGATGCCACGGTGCGGTGAAACGGTTGGAGCTGAGCCGTCACAGCAAACTTAGACAGGCGATATTTCGACCGATGGTTCGTTTGAATGGAGATGGAGATAGGGCCAAAAAAAAATATTTTTTTGAAACGTTTGAAAAAAAAAAAAAGAAAAGCCTTTCTTTTAATGATGAGTTAAAACGCGCTTAGAGCGCAATTAGAATCTCTTATATATATATTTCTTTCGATGTGACTGCTCCCATTTCTGGATAGCGTGAAAAATAAAATGTCAGGTAACTACGCTAAATGATTTTATTAAAATAATGCAACTGCGTTTTGGCGTAATATTTTCTTTTCCGAAAATGAAATCGCCTCAACTTAAATATGGTACAATAATTATTCCGTTTAAAAGTGGTTGGGACATCACCATATTAACATAGTTCATGGGCGAGAAATAGAAAGTGTGCAGTGACGTA